TGAACAGCTACACGCCAAGCTGATAGTCTTGCTCTGCGTCCTGGGCATCCTGTGTGTATCCACTGCCACCCTCCCATGCTTCAATGATGTCCAAATTGAGGAGGTTGATGGAAAGTGCGCCCTCATTGTCCTGGTGGTTGGTTATAAAAACGACCACTTTGGTGAGGGCAACATGGTGCACATCTTTGAATGCATGGTCCAACACTACTGCCCAGTGGCCATGTTCATTGAGTGGAAACACCACACCATGAACATGCAAACCCATGTCCAAGACTGTTGCATTGTCTTTGAAACCAGTCTGCCCTACCTCAAGCTCTCCCTGGGGAGATGTGCAGCCATCCTGAAGGGTGTTGCAGCAGAGGTGGGTCTTGACATGTGGATCTTCATGGCATGAATGTTCAGGAAATTGGGGGTCATGGCAGGCATCAATGCTGCTATTGAACCTGACACCATCTTCTGTCTTGGTGGGTGGCACAACCCCAACATGTTCTGGTGCCACTATGTGACCAGAACAATTCTGAACATGTTTACTGACATGCTCTTTGATGTTGACAACCTCAGGTAAGACAACTCAGAGTTGGACAATGGAGAGGAATGAGCTGATGCTTCTGTACACAACAAGTGGAAGTGTCCTCTGACTTGAAGGTAACTCATTTACTGGTAATAAGAGTTATCAAGAGGAGGAGGACACTTCCACTACCTACATTCTGTTGGAGGGTCAGCAGCAACCCAACCTACACCACCAAAAGTTGTCTAGGCACTTTTGGTTGAGTGGTTATTTCCCAACATGGTAGCAGAGGATTGTGAGTTCAATTCTGGCTAGCGCCTGTCACTCATTTGAAAATCCACCCATTATCCCCCCACCGAAGACAGCATCACCTGGGGCCAAAGCACCTCACAGACAGGTCGCTGGATCAATGCCCACTTCAGGCAACACTCAGTATGGTTGGCTGGATTGCCACTGAAGGGGCATGTTGGAGGGTCAGCAGCAACCCAACCTACACCACCAAAAGTTGTCTTACCAGGGGTAACATAGATTACCCCCTAGCGGGAGAACACTTCTGTTCTGTTTAATCTTTATTTATTATTTCTTTCAAGTCTGTTACAATGGAACCAAATAAAAGAGATTAAACACAATCCCTGTATTCATCCTTTTTTCTCCATGTCACTCATGTATTGTGCAGACTAGCTGTACCACTTTGTCAATGAATGGCCTGGATCAAACCCAGGTGTCAGCCTCAGGAGGGGATGAGACGCTCACCCTCCTATGCAACCTGACAACAATGCTTTCATGCATGGCCCCTGAACTGGGCCAAGAGCAACTGAACCTGTCTTGCAGGGGAGTGGGACTTGCCTACCTACTCTGCATGGAGGAAGAAGGTGAGGAAGAAGAGGAGGAGGTCAATGATGACAACCCCAATGCTCCCCCTTGTCAAGTGACTTGGTTCAACTTGACCTGAGGAATGACAATGTCAAAGATGACTTCAACAACATTGAGTGATCCTGTTCCAGGATCAAGCTGGGAGCCCCATGCAGCTTCCCCAAGAGTGACAGCGCTGGCTTCAACAAAGATGACTGGCTCCACATTGGACACCTATGTTGCATCCACAAGGTGACCAAGGTCGCCATGAGACTCACCCTGCTGGTGTGTCAACGCCACCAGGCTGCCTACAATGAGCTCAAAGACATCATGATGGCCCTCCTCTTCACCATGCACCTCATCCTGGATGCTTGTGACAAGATCTGGGTGCACAGGCACCACAGAGAGGAAGCCTTCAATGCCTTCACAGTCCTCAAGAATTTGTCACTCACCAGTGATCACCATCAACACCTCATCAACGTGATCACCATCTCTGGCCTGGGTGGCTGACATGACCAGGTCCAGAAGGCCAGCCATGTTCAACAGCCACAACATTCTGGCTCCACCCCAAGAGGCTGTGGCTGCAGCAACTTCAAGACTTGCCCCTACAACTCCAACACTACTTCAAGAGGCCACAGTGCTGGTGCAGGCGCCCACCATGATTAGTGAACGCCAAGGAAGGTCCACCACCGCTCCCCTGGGCAGTGGAGGACCTACCAGGTGGGCAAAACGTTCCTGTCAGGGCATTTCTACCCAACCTACAGGCATGGAAGGAGGCAGGCGTGTCCATCACCATCCTATGGTGGATACATCACAGAGTCCCCCTCCCCCTATGGTCAATTCCAAGACTCTGCATCATTCTGAACCATCACCTCACCATAGCCCAACAGCTATGGGTGAAGGAGGAAATTGAATGGCTACTCGATCTCCAGGCCATTTGGGTGCTCACCAGCAATGAGCCCCTGATGTCCTCTCTGATCAGTGTCATTCAGAAGAAAAATGGGAAGTTTTGATTGATAATTGACATGTGCTTCCTGAATGACTACATTGAGCTGCCCAAGTTCAAGTATGAGGGGCTCACTGAACTATCACAACTTCTCCAACCCAGTGACTGGCACACAGCAATCAACTTGAAGGACAGGTTCTTCCACATACCCATCCTTCCAGCACACCAACATCTCCTGGGCTTCTCATGGGCAGGGTGACACTATGCCTACTGAGTCCTGCCATTCAGCCTGTCTGTGTCCCCCTGGTTCTTCACCAGGTTCATCTGTGTGACTGTTTGCCACCTACACTTGATGGGCATGAGGGTGATGGCCTACATGGATGATCTGTTCATCATTGGCCAATCCAAGGTCAAAGCCAAGCAGGCAGTGGAGCTCACCCAGCAAGTGCTGAAGAGCCTTGGCTGGGTCATCAACACTGAGAAGTCATCTTTGCTGCTGTTGTAGGTGATGGAGTTCCTTGGAGTCCTGGTTGACACCATGGACATGCCAAAATTTCACTCACACTCTGCCATGACATCAAGCGCCTACTCCACCTCCACGACAGGGAGGGCAAGGTGCCAGTCCATCGCCTGGCCACCATTGTTGGCCAGGGTGTAGTGATGATGAAAGCAGTCCTTCTGGCCAAGCTGCTCCTCTGCAACACACACCACATGATAGCCACGCAGAAGAGCTGGAACAACCAAGTCCAACTCTAGACCATGGCAGTGCAGGACCTCAAGGAGTGGCTCCACAGGCTCCTGTCATGGGATGGGAACCTGACCCACCTACGCCCACATGATGTCTCAATCAACACTGACACCTCCCTCACTGGCTGGGGAGTGACTTTGTCACAACCAAGCCTTATGGCCACCAGCTGGTGGTGGAGGCAGGACAGGCACATCAATGAGTACAAGATGTGTGCTGTCCTGAAGGCACTGAGGACGTTTGGTCCCCACCTCACAGGCAAATCAATACTCATGTGGTGTGACAACATGACAACAGTTGCCCACATCAACAACATGGGCAGGCGGTGCCAGAGGGCCAACCTTGTCATGTGGAAAATTGTCATGGTATGCCATGACAACAACCTCCAACTTGCCACAATCCATCTCCCTGGCAAGGAGAACAAGAACACCAACCAGCTCAGTCATCTCCACCCACACCATGAGTGGAAGATGAACTGCTCTATGTTCCTGGCCATCAACAAGAAGTGGGGTCCCCACACCATCAACCAGATGGCCACCAGCCACAACACCCAGCTCCCACACTACCACTCCCACTTCTTCAAACCAGGGAGCACCACCACCAACTGCCTTGTCCAGGACTGGGTACAGGAGAACAGTTGGGTGGCCCCACCAATCACCCTCATCCCTCAAGTGCTCCAGCTAGTTCAAGCACAGGGCGCCACTGCCACCATCATCGCCCCAATGTGGAGCAGGTGCCACTGGCGCCAGGACCTCAACGACCTCACAATCAACATGCCAATCCCACTGCACACATCAGAGGAGACATTCCTCAGTGAGCATGGGACACCAGAGCCACTACACAACTGTAGATGGCGCTGGGCGGCCTATTGGATGTGTTGGATCTGTGGCTTAACCACCCACCTAGGAGGATGGCACAGCACTGAGACCTTCTGGTCACACTACATGGTGCACCAGGTCCCATGCTCCTACACTGACCTCCTTTTTGACACTGGCCAGGACTCCAGTGATGACAATGAAGCACCTTGGGAGTAACAGAACAGAAGTGTTCTCCTGCTAGGGGGTAATCTAAGTTACCCCTGGTAAGCAGGATTATCCTGTAGGGAGAACACTTCTGTTACCACCCACCCTCACCACCCTCATGGCTAGTGATACTACGATGTGGAGAAAAAAGGATGAATACAGGGATTGTGTTTAATCTCTTTTATTTCTTTTCCTGGTTCCGTTGTAACGGACTTGAAAGAAATAATAAATAAAGATTAAACAGAACAGAAGTGTTCTCCCTACGGGATAATCCCGCTAGGCACTTTTGGTCGAGTGGTTATTTCCCAACACGTTCCCTCCCGCCTCCCCAGCTCGGCTCACCAACTCGAAAGAAGAGAAGAGCCCCGTTCCGGGACTTGTTTTACTATTTAATTATTTTATTGTTGTAGACATAACAAATAAAATAAATAGTAAAACAAGCGGAAGTGTCCTCCTCCTCTTGATAACTCTTATGCACGCGCAAGAGAACACAGGAAAGAGGGAGAACGAGCGAAAAAGAGAACAGAAAAGACATGCCCAACAGGTCGTGGATGGAAGTGGGCGATGGTGGAGGTGGTACAGCAAAGAGTAGCTTGAGGTGCTCCTTCTTGATTCCAATTCCTGTCGCGTCGTGTGCGTGTGTTGGTTGTGTAATGTCAAGCTTCGATCCGTGATGGAAGAAGGGAAGTGTTGAGCCCAACTGACCTGACTTCTTTGACGGCGACGATGACCTCTTCCGAGTTGTCCTGGTCGTCGTTGAGTACCCGAACCTCTACGGAGCCGTGGTCGGGCGTAAACTTGACCGCGTTCGATAATGTGTTGTACACGACCTGCCGAAACCTGCGGACCAGTCGACCCAGCCCAGCGCACATCGATGATGCATCGGCGTACGTTCAGCACAACAATGACTAGCAGCAGCCCACAACGATGCGTGATGCAGTACGTACCCAAGCGCCGATTGACGCGACGGGCGGCGCGCGAGCTGCTCCGCAACATTGCCGCTCTGGTGGCGTTTGTCGATCCGACCGTACGCGCCATGCTGCCATCGCCAAAAAAAGAGGAGATAGTGATTCTAGAAATCTTTGGGTGTACACGATCGGCGAGTGACCACGGGCGTCTCAAATATGGATTTCGTCTTGG